ATTCCACAATCAGAAGCCATTCAAAAGTAAATTTGGCCATATATCCTTTTATATACCCTTTAATCTAATTTGAATTAGACATATAAATACAAATTGCGGGGGGGGCGCCTGGGTGGCTCAGTCCTTAAGCATCTGCCTTTGGCTCAAGTCACTGATCCCAGAGTCCTGGGATCAAGCCCCACATCAGGCTCTCTGCTTCTGGGAAAGCCTGCTTCTTCCTCTCCCACTCCCTCTGCTTGTATTCCCTTTCTCTCTGTGTCTCTATCAAATAAATAAATAAAATCTTTAAAATAAATAAATAAATACAATTTAGGAATTGACTTACATTTTAAAAGGGTTATCCATAGGGTGCTTTAATACATTTGTTACAGTTTTAAAAACTCATTTAACCACAGTTTTTCAAGAATACGTGTGCTGTGAGAAGCAAGATAAGGAACAAGTTGAAATTACTAAATTTTGAGAGAACACCCTGGAAAAAGTTAGTATTTTCTTGTGACAACTACCTGTAACTAGTAACATATTTCAGAAAATACTGAGAATTTGGCACTTGCCAAGTTTCACTTCCCCCTTAATTTAATTGGTTCTAACTTCTTTTAGGCATATTTGTAATAAGGTTACAGCCAGTGTAACTTTGAAGAATAGTATATCCAAACTAAAATGTTTCCTCTTTATTAAAGATAATAGAAGAAGATGCTGCTCTTGTAGAAATAGGACCTCGCTTTGTCTTAAATCTCATAAAGATTTTCCAGGGAAGTTTTGGAGGACCAACTTTATATGAAAATCCTCATTACCAGTCACCAAACATGGTAAGCTAATTGTGTTGTTCAGTGGTCCCTTGATGCCCAGAACTTGCTGGCCAAAGTGATTCTGTCAAGTGATTTCTGTTAACTGTGAAACTAATTTTTTTTTTTTGGCTGCATACTGTCTTGCAAATTACTACTTTTTTTAAATGACAAGAGTGAAGGGAAAATAGGGCTCACAAGTGAATGTCCATATGTAGTATGTTTTTATTTTGAAAGCATCTGATATTTTGTTGTCTTTAGCATCGGCGTATTGTAAGAACCATCACAGCTGCAAAATACAAAGAGAAACAACAAGTGAAGGATGCGCAGAAAATGAAAAAGAAAGAACCAAAGACTATTCTTCCACATGATCCCACTGCAGATGTTTTTGTTACACCAGCCGAGGAAAAGCCAATAGAAATACAGTGGGTAAAGCCAGAGCCCAAAGTCGATTTGAAAGCAAGAAAGAAAAGGATTTATAAAAGGCAAAGAAAAATGAAACAGAAGATGAACAGTGGGAATGCAAAATGAATCAGTGGATAACTAACTTTTCAGTAATTTTATATTTATTTTGTATTCAATGTGTAAATACATTTTATTATCCAGGACTACCTTATATCTTACTAGTGTGGCAATTTAGACAAAGAGATATCAAATTAAAATTTGTGGCTTCAGTGGTGTGTATGTTTTTCTAAATGTCACCAAAACTCATCAGTTCATTTCTGTTTTTCTTTTCAAAGCTTGTTTGGTATTACTGAAAATTCAGCACACTTCAGGTTTAGGCTTGCTTTCTTGGATTAAAATTTTGGGTTTAGCAAAGCTGAAATTCAAACAGATTTATTGGGTCATTATTGTAAAACAATGAATTAGGTAGTTTCGGATGATAAAGTGCAGATAGATTGGTAGAAAAAGCATCTTACTGGGGTTGGAGTCCCTGAGTCCCAATGAATGAGGCTTTGGAAAAGCCAATCCTTGATCTTGATTTCTCACCTCAAGAAAGTACAATAGGATGCCTGGGTGGCTCAGTCGGTGAAGCGTCTGCCTTCAGCTCAGGTCATGATTCCAGGGTCCTGCGGTGGAGTCAGGCATCATTGGGCTCCCTGCCCAGCAGGGAGTCTGCTTTTCTCTGTGCTGCCCCCTAGAGTAGGTGTGAGTTCTCCCTCTCTCTCACAAAAATAAATAAAATCTTTAAAAAAAAATTTACAGTAAGTTTTAGGTTCTGAGAATCAAATGAGTTAATACGTGTTTGGAAGTATTTGTAGATATTTAATTTAGAAGCAGTGGGTATAAATGATAATTTACTAGTAAAAGGAAGAAAAGTGGAACAGTAGTTGGAGGGCACTGGAATATCTGAGTTGATATTTGATGAAAGAACTGAGGTGAAGAACACAGGGCTTACCCTCCTAGAGGTCACTTAGTAGGAGGGAAAGACGATTCTGGGTGCTAGTGGCTGTGGACAGGTAGGTGGCCGCTGAAGAGACTGTGAGATGTGCACATATGTATATCATGTGTGTGGTGTTCTGTGACCCACTTATTTTTATATCCTATTAATCACTTCCCCATGTCTTTATTATACGTGACTAATAATTGCATAGTATTCTACTCTGCTATACTGTACTATCTGTCCCTTATGGGATATTACAGTATTTCAGGTATGGATGCTTATGCCAAACATTTCTTGACATAAATTATTTTGTACCACCTTGTGGTTTCCTGTAAGTGGAACTCGAGTGAAAAGATGCCCCCCTGGGACGCCTGGGTGGCTCAGTTGGTTAAGCAGCTGCCTTCGGCTCAGGTCATGATCCCAGTGTCCTGGGATCGAGTCCCATATCGGGCTCCTTGCTCTGCAGGGAGCCTGCTTCTCCCTCTGCCTCCGCCTGCCATTCTGTCTGCATGTGCTTGCTCTCTCTCCCTCTCTCTCTCTGATAAATAAGTAAAATCTTAAAAAAAAAAAATGCCCCCCTAAATACTGTACTTCACCAGAAGTCAGTGTTCATTTATTTACTTGTACCCTTGTATAGTGAAATAACTTTTGTCAGTTTGGTAGGTTAAAAAAAGAATACCCTTTTATGGGTAGATACTGGTTTTTCTTTTGTGACTAATCTTGTTTTTGTGTGGTAGTTATCTTTTACTAATTTGTAAGAACTCTTCTATGGCAGGATTACTCTAGGTATCTTTCCTAGTTCCTCACTTGTATTTTAATTTTGTTTATTTTGAATCTGTAGGCAGAACAATCAATTTTCCATTATATTTCATTTTTTCTTAATTTCAAAGAAAGGTCTTGAATGTAAAATTAAGCCACTTTATTTTGAAATAGTCTAAATTAGGCTACTTATCTTGAAATCTATACTAAGCAGGTAATTCGGTTCAGAGGTTCACTTTAAATACTTGTGCATAGCTAGTGAAGGCCAATTTTGGTTAAGTGCAAGGGGAGAACAAGCTTATTTATTTAAGCAATTGAATACAGCCTGGGATGAAAAGAAGCTGTATTCAGGATTTGTATTTAAACACCCACATCCCAAGAAGTTAATTATAGGTTATAAAATAGACTGGCTCAACAAGTTGTTTGAATGAAGACCCAGACTTTTTAAGATTTTCTGAGGTGTGTGTCGTAGAGTTTTAGTGGCATTGCTTTAACAATTTTGATGATCAGTTTCTACATATTTTCCTGTCCCAAATTACTTCCCTTTCATGATCATTTATATGTGTACCTCATTTGAATGAGAATTCCTTTTTTTCCAACTCATGTTCATTGAGAAGTCAACTTGTTCAATAAAGATAATCCTTTAAACTGAAATTTATATCCAGTGTAATTGTTTCTATATTTCTTTAACTGTTACAGGCAGAAACAATTTCCTCCTCTCTCAGGAGGAAAAATGCAAGTGACTCGGGTTGTAAGCAAAACCAGATGCAGTTGGAGGAAGAAAAATTCTATTGTCTGTCACTTTTTATCCCCCTACCCCTAACCCCATTCTCAAATGGGGCAAGGTTCCATTTTCACCTTTATTCAAACTATCAGTCACTATCTATTGTCAATTTACAAACTAAGATGGTGTATAGTATCTTCCTTCTCTGAAAAAGAGGCAGGTGTGTAAATTTCGAGTACGAGTTGAACAGTGGTGTGTGGAGAAACTTGATGAGGTTTGGGGTTGGTTTTGATTGTGCAGTGGGCATGGTATTAGGGAAGCAAGGAACCACCTTGTACAGTAAGATGTTAGCAATAGAGCCAACCCTTCTCTTTACACATGGTTGACAAAACCTACACCTAACAACTGACATATGTAAACATTCCACATTACAGTGAAATATATTGGTGTGTCTATTAAACCAATGTATTTTAAGGACACCTAGGATACTATTTTGGCACCTTATCAAATTGGAACAGTTGTACGGATCTCCCATGCTGTAGTAATAATGTGTCGGTTCGGTCAACAAAAACTGGTTAAATACTATCCCCTAACAGCATTCTTAACAATCTAGGAAATGCAGGCTTAGAAGCGAGAAAGTGTTAGTGGATGGGTCAACACAATTTTATTCATACTGGTGGTAAAACATTTGGTATGTTATTTTTAAATGTGTTGATGGTCTCTCAAATTTTCCACTTTAAGGCATCATATTTACTGTTACTTCATTGCCTATTAGTCAGAATGAGCAGTATTAGAGATCTCGATAAGTGGCAGCTGAAGAGAATTGAAGTTAAATCCTGCATTTGGTTCACCTGAATCCTGCCATTGATCAGTTGGGGAGGCCTGAGCAAAACACTCGACTACTTCGAGCCTGAGTCGCCTCACCCGGAAAAACGGGGGTCCACTGAGAAATCGTCTTCAGAAGACAAGATGCTTTCCGGAACCTTGTATCAGACTCCTATCAGCCATCCGGTGGCCAGCCCAGTTAGTGCTCCTTACACAGACCGGCTACTGTGCCCCTCACAATGACGCCCGCCGTGGCCCCGCCTCCCACCTGTCGGGGCCCTGCCTTCATCCCGCCGCGGCCCCGCCTCCCACCCACCGAGGCCCCGCCTCCATTCCGCCGCGGTCCCGCCTCCTACCCACCGAGGCCCCGCCTCCCTCCCGCGCAGCTTTTCCCGGAACCGAGCCCTCCCCCAGCCCATGCGAAGCCGCGGCCTCCGGCACCGCCCACTCCGCGCGCCCGCGTGCCGCAGCCCGCGCCGCCTATCGCCGCCGCGCGCTTCCGCCACCCCGCGCCGCTGCCGCCGCCGCCGCGCTCGCTGGCTGGCCCGGTGTGGGCGCCGGACTCCCGCTGCCGAAGAGGACCAGCAGCGCCGCCGCCACCCCTTCGGCCCGGGCCCGGGCCCCGGCCCCGCCCCGGGCCCCGGCCCCAGCCCCTTGCCCGGCCGGGCGATGAAGTGTCACTACGAAGCGCTGGGGGTGCGACGCGACGCCAGCGAGGAGGAGCTCAAGAAGGCCTATCGGAAGCTGGCCCTGAAATGGCACCCGGGTAACTACTCCGCAACCGTCGCAGCCCTTGCAAAAGCCGGGCCCCCGCCACCCTTCGCCCCCCTCTTCCCGGAATAACTCCGGGACCCTGGCCAGTCTCAACCCGCCCGCCCTGTGATTCGCCTCGCCCTGGGAACCCCGTTCGGGTCCCCGGCCAGGTGCCCCTGCGCAGTGCTCTTCCCGCCGGGCTTCCTCCCCGCCCGTCGGAGGACGCATCGCTCACCCCAGGCTTCCCTTAGAGCCCCGGGCGGCCCGTCCCTTCCCAGACGTTTCCCCGGCCCACCCACCAACCCCGGCGCTACCCGCAGTGGCACTTGATGGGGAGGACACATTCTAGCGACTTCAGCGTCTCCTCCCACCCCTAAGCAGACGGGAGCCGGAGTCGGAGCGGGAGACCTGGGCTCTCGAGTTTGGCCCTTGCTTGAGTTTCTGCCGCTCAGCTACCCTTAACTTCATCACGGAATCCCAACTACTCCAGTGTAATTTATGGCCCCTTATTGAAATTAAGACAAAGAAGCTAGTAAATTGTCTTAAATAGCTGTGCTCCCCCCCCTTTCCCAGTAAGCTGTTGAAATACGGACCCTGTACTCCACTTCAGATGTTTTGCAGATGGAGAGTTTTAATTGGGTGTCTTCCCTAGTGAAGTTTGTATGTATACTTAGGAGTATGCTTCCTTTGAATGTTTGATTTGGTCATAGTTCAGGCCTGTGTGACTTCTGTGAAGTAATCTGATCTTTCAGACTGGGAAACTAAGGCTGTGGTTGAATATCAGCTTTTTGAGTTTGTAAGAGGTTTACATATTAGCACTAATCAATAAGGGTGTTTATAGAATCTCCAGTATGTGCAAGTCCATAGTAAGATTCTGAAATGCTAAGACATCCCTTGGAAAACATGCTGTAAACCATGAAAAGTTAAATACAAGCGCAAACAAAATAGCACAACATACATAATTGGTAGTTGGATTAACAGAACAAGTAATAAATGCCCCAGGAAGCCAGGGGAGGGGAGTTCTCACTATGTCATGAGAAGCAGTGAGGTTTCTCCTTGGCAGAGGATCCTAGATTTTTAGCTAGATCTTAGGGAAATGGAATTGGGAAAAGTGACCTGAAGAGTGGAGGGAAGAGCATCATGGTGGACAAAAGGTGGTCTAGGGGACAGTTTGACTGATGGCAGTATTTATTGGAAATCTGAAAACATGGTTTGAGAGAAGAGCTGAAGGAAGGGCCTAGGACCCAAAGTCAAAAGGTAATGTCTGTAGTTGGTGGAACAAGAAATAAAGGTATGGGTTTGTTACTTAAAATGGTAACGATTACCAACAGAGGAACTAAACGAATATATATATATATATATGTGTATATATATATATATACACATATATATATATATAGGAAAGGAAGAAGTAAGGTAAACATCAGAAATTGAGTTAGGAATTAGAATGAAGTTAGGAATTTCTTGACTCTTCTGGCTGGAAAAGTGTGAGGAAGAGGATTAATGCTTGTGACCAAATGCATATATAATTTTGATGATAATATGAATATGTTTTTGAGTGTAGTTTTAAGATTAGATCATAAAGGGTCTTGAATGTTAGGCTAAGGACTGTGAAATTTGTTTTTCCAATAAGAGAGGGTTAAAGCTGGTTTTATTAAGATGTCTTGAGGCGGTACTGTGAGGGTGGCTGAGTGCATTGAAGAGGGACGGGGACAGAAGTCAGGTAATGTCCACTATGGCAAGGAAGGGCTCACACCAGGCTGGGGGTTAGTGGGAGGGAAGGGCAAGGCCTGGTAGAAGAGATGCTGTGAAGGAGAAATTATCAGATTTGGTGATTAACTGGAAATCAGTGCAAAGAAGGAAGGAAGAAGTAGGCAAAAGTTACTAAAACATCGGTTCACTATTTTGAAACAAAACCGGTTAGAAATGAAGTGTTTTCTCTGAATGTCATCATAATCATAACATCCTAAATATCTTTTGTTTGAACATGCCTATACATTTAAGGGATACATACTTTCCAGGTGATACATGATTTTGATATATTTTGCTGTGCTGACTTGTTAATTTAAGTCTGTCAGTCAGCAAATGTTCAATCTCTGTGTAAGGTCCTGTGTTAGGTGTTTCTGAGGTTAACATTTGGGCTTTGCTTCAAAGAATAATTTGTACTTCAAGAAAAAAGGCTGTTCATTTTTCATTGTTAAAGGTATTTCTTTGTTTTTTGTTTTGTTTTGTTTTAAATTGAGCAACTGAAAATAGTTTTCAGTAGGGTCAATGTTATTTCCTAGTGAGATCACTCCTCTTGAGGGGAAGGCTTTTATTTGATCACTGCCCGGAGCACTTTACTGTGTGAATGAGGCAGGAATGGTCCTTGCTCTGCAGGCAGGTAGAGTCATCAGGGAGTCCCAGGGAAACAGGCAGTTTCAGTCTGGCGAGAGAACGGTGGTCTGAAGGCAAGTACAGGGTGGTCTGAAGGCTTATGAGCACATGTGCCTGACCTGGACTGGGTTTCTGTGTGGGTGGGACAGATGTGTATCCCTGAAGAAGTGACCTCTAAGGGGAGACTGAAAACCAGAAAGCAGGGAGTACAGGGGGAGGAAGGCCAGACAAAGCATGGCAGAGTACAGGAAGGGCAAAGAGGGGGCTATGGCCAGGTGAGCAGCAGCCAGGTCTTGGAGGTTGGGGTCAACTGGACGAGGTAGATTGATTTTAACCTAAGGGCAGTGGGAAGCAGGGGAAAAGGTAGGTTGTGTTTGTCAGGTATGGAGAGAGCAGATTAGAGCAGGCAAGATTGGGAGGAGGGCGACCGGGAGGTCAGAGTACACTGAAGTCACCCATGGTGAACATAGGACCCAGGAATGGAAACTCTGAGCCAAGGGCTGGAATTCTCAGTAAGTTAAGGGGGAGTGGTTGAGTGATATGTGGACAGTGAGAAGGGGAAGAAGGTGGGGTTGGCCAGTGGTTTGAATCTGGATGGAATGCTAGTGTGCCCTTGGGGATGAGGAAAGGACCAGCAGCCAGGAGGATGCCAGCTGTGGGATCCTGAGGGCTGTGACTGAGGGAGCCCAAAAAGGAAGTCCTGAAGGGAAGCGGTGTTCTCAGGGAGCCTGGTTTCAGTCGAGGCAGGACTTAAAAGGCTCAGTCCATGGAATTTTCCAGAAGGTAGTGTAAAAAAGTTTGGGAGGGAGTAGAAGAGTGTGTGAGTGAATGGAGAGAAAAGCACAGAGAGTAGTGTGAGAATGCCTCTTAAACTTTGATGACTGGCTTTGCAGTACCTGCAGCCTTTGGGTGTGGCTGATAATAAATGTGGGCTTTTCCTTTATTATTGCTTTTTAACTTACTGCATTTATGTGCTTAGATCTCAGTTTAACATTATAGTCAGCCAGTTCAGGTATATTTAAGTGAAATAAGCCATATGACAGACTGAAAAAAATCAGAAAGACGTGTTAGTAAGAGGCGAGATCTTATTTTCAGCTGGTACATTGATGGACTTTCTATGTTTCAAAGCTTGAGCTTTCTCCAAACTTCTTTGGGGGAGAAAGGAAGGGTGTGGGAAGAAACAGGACAACGAAGTACAGAACTGATTAAAAGGTGAAGAAGAACCACCCACATACCTCCCCCAGTCACCTTTTTTGTTTTATGTGGGAAGATTTATTTGCTGGCGTTTTCTGCCATTCTGCTTTAATTGGGACTGTGCTGTTTTGTTTATGACAGAAAGTTTATGAATGGTTTGATGAAGATGTAGAAATCATGAGTATTTTTGAATCGTGAAAGATACAGAAATCATGACTCTCACCTTGATGGCGTATCTGGCTGTGTTCAGAGCTGCATGTGACAGGAAGGTGGCGACAGTAACTAAAGTGAATAGTTTTGTTTTTCATACTTAGCAAGAAATCCAGGGGACACCCGTCTTGGTAGCTCCAACTCTTGACGAAGCCCTCAAAGACCTGCTCCATTATCCTGATCCCAAGGCTTGAGTGCTTGCACCGAGTATAAGTGATTAAGCCTCAGAGCTAAAAGTTTCTTGCTGCCCCATGTTGTGGTGCAGAGACAGGCAGGTGAGCCACCGTGTAGCAGTTCTCCCCAGCATCTCTCGGGTGGGCCCTCACTTACTGTCCAGGGCGGCCTTTGGCGGGTGGGGTGGGGCGGGTGGTAGGGAGGGATAGGGAGACTGTGAATGGTTGGCTCCTTGATTATTGGTGCCTGTCTTTGGCTGTATTTGAAGTAGAGGATTACGCCGTGCCATGAGAAATGGGAGTATTTAGTCCCGGGAGAAGGACGACTCGGAGATAACCATTGGCCGTCTTCAGAGTGGCTGCACTGTGGAAGGGGATTTAAACCGGCATTAGATCGCTTGCCACTTACAGCTAGGCTGCGGGGGTGGACTTTTTTTCCTTTCAAGTTAGAGTTACCATGATTCTAAAATAATATCGAAAGCTTTTTCTGTGAAAGCATCTCAGCAAAGAGGGGCTACGGCCAATGGCTGCACTTGAGAAAGTATTGTCCGTGATAGTGGTTGAGCAGAAAATTCCCTGAAGGACTGGACATCCCGCGTGATGGTACCTAGAAAGAGGAGGCAGGATGCCCTCGAGGGTCTTGTTCTAAGGCTGCGAAGTTATTCCTAGGAAGTATGTTTCTGGCCTATTTTTCCTCTGGCGTCTTAGAGGGCAAGTATTGAGTTGTAGCTTATAGAATTTTGGTATGCTCCAGAGTGGTCCGAAAATATTTCACTTACTGAGTATATTATCTATTGCTATGCAACAAATTACCAAACGCTTAGGCCTGAAAACAATAAACACAGCAAACATCCGTTATATGGACTCAGTTTCTGAGGACAGAGTGTGGGGATGGCTTAGCTGGGTGGTTTTGGCTCAGGGTTTCTCGTGAGGTGGTATCCTCATTGGGAAAACCCGCTTTTCAATCTCCCTCCCATTGTATCAGGCCTTATTTCCTTGTTGGCTGTGGGCCAGAGGCCTCCATTCTCCACGTGGGCCACCCGAGTGTCTTGCTGTGGCAGCTGGTTACTCCCAGGGCAATCCAAGAGAGCAAGAGCCCGAGGTGGAAACTGCAGCCTTCTATAAACTAATCTCAGAAGTAACTTAGCATGCCATCACCATTTTTGCTGCCTTGCTGTTGGCCACACAGACCAACCCTGGTGACCTGTGAGGAGGCTCTACAGGGTGTGAATGCCAGGAGGTGGAGAGCCTTGGGGGCCATCTTGGAAGCTGCCCGATGCTCTCTGAATTCATAGTTAAGAGAAAAATAATTAGTATATATTTTTAAAGCTTTACAAGATTGTGGGGTCTGTGTTGATAAGAAAGAAAAAACATAAAGACCGTACTAAATAATAACACTCCTTCCATGACTGATTTTACATATATATATTTTGCTTTTTCAAAAAATAAAATGTGTGCTACTCAGGGTTTTCCGTTTGTGGATACCCAGACTGAGTGCTCAGTGACGCACCAAGGCTTAGGGGAAAGCATACAGTTTCTTCTCAAGTAGATACTTCTCGCATATCCTTATTATCAACTCTCACTAGGACCTCTTTGCTTTTTCCTTTTTTCTTTGTTTTGCGAACTCATCTATTTATGGCATTTGTGACGGAAGAGGTCCCTTTTAGATTCTGTCCTCTACTTGTTTGATGACTATCTGGAACTTTATCTTAACAGATAAAAATCTGGATAATGCCGCAGAAGCAGCTGAACAATTTAAATTAATCCAAGCAGCGTATGACGTGTTGAGTGACCCTCAGGAAAGAGCATGGTGAGCATCACGCTGCCCCTCCTATCTTAGTGTATTTTGTCGGGAAGAATTATCAATAGAAGACTTTAAAAAGTGGATGTTTGTCAAATGTTTCGGTGTGTTCTGAGGCATCTGTCCCCTATTCATTATAGAAAATGCAGTATTAGAGTTGGAAGGAAGCTTAGAGGTGACTACTCCAATTATTTCATTTTAGAGGAGGTAGACTAAAGCTTGGCAATATTAGATAGATTGAACCTTGACCCTTGGGAAGTAACTTCTTATTAAACAGGATCTCTTTGGTGTAGGACAAGTTTATTGGTGTTAGGAATGCTGACTTACCCTTAAAACAGTGTTTCAGAGCTAGAATTGCAGGATTTCCCCAAGAACTACTTTATATGAAGAAATGGAGTTAAGCTTCTATGTCTATGACAGATACTTTTAGGTATGATGACCTGATAATTTAATAGCATTTTCAGACAAAAAAATTCTTTTTTAAAAAAAGATTTTATTTATTAGAGAGAGCATGAGCAGGGGAAGGGGCAAAGCAAGAAGCCAACTCCCCACTGAGCAGAGAGCCCAATGAGGGGCTTGATTCTGGAACCCTGGTATCATGACCTGAGCCAAGGGCAGATGCTTAAAGGAGTAAGCCACCTAGTCACCCCCAGACAAAAATTTCTATGTTTAAATTTAAGTTCTCAGATTTTTTTTGAAGATTTTATTTATTTATTTGACTAAGAGAGATCACAGGTAGGCAGAGAAGCAGGCAGAGAGGGGGGGGGAAGCAGGCTCCCTGCTGAGCAGAGAGCCTGATGCGGGGCTTGATCCCAGGACCCACTGAGCCACCTGGGCACCCCGAGTTTTCAGATTCTTGATGAACTTTTTGCTACCAAGGAGTAGGTTTTAAGCCCTGACATGTCTGTGCAAGAGCCTGCTGTTACAAAGAGCAGGTGAGTGTGCAGGGCTGCTGCTCTAGTCTTGTGTGTGTCAAACAGCGTAAAACATGGCAGGCTCTCAAGCAAGAAAGGCTGTAAAAAAAAAAATTTTTTTTCTAAAAATTGTCCTTTAGGTGAAAATCAGAGAGAGAATCCTACATTTTTCTCCTGAAAAATTTGGAGATCTGGACTTAGGAATGTTTTTGCTTTCCTTTAGGAACTTTGAAATTCTTTCCTGCCGCCCTTGGCTCTGTGCCCTTCTCCAGATCTCAGGGGGCCTTCCTGTTCGAAGGGCTCTCTTGTCCTTTCGTGTGAAGGCCCTGCTGTTGACTCTCGTGTTGCCTACAGGGCAGACTGCACAGTTACTAGGAGTATGGTCCTTCTAGTGCAGGAGGCCTGGTTTGGAATTCTAGCGCTGCTGCTTACCGGGTTTGTGATTGTGGATAAATTATTTAGTATCGCTGAGAGTCAGTTTCCCATTACATCTTTGGGGTAAGAACTGACCTTACAGAGTTATTACAGGGAGTAATTGTGTGTATGTGAAACTTATAGATTGTTTCTATAAACCTAGGAAGACCAGTTTTGGTCTTTGTTGGTAAATCTGATCACAAATATATAATCTTAGTCTGTGGAGCAGATTATGTCCCGTGCTGATCAATTTAGTAATATTTCTTACCCGTAGAAATGCAGCTACCTTTCTGGGGGGGGGGAGTCATGGAAATTCCCTGGCTTGTTAAGTTCCTCTGTTCATGTGGGCAAGTAGTGTACAGTGCCTGCCTCATCCTTGAAGTTGCAGTCATAGTTTTAATCAGCTCTGTGAAGGATTATCAAGTCTTTTCATGTTGATATTTAAAAAAATTTTGAGTGTGGGTTGGACATATTAAAATGTCTAATAATATTTTGGCTGTTTCAGATTCAGGAGTCCTTCTGAATTCTCGTTTATTCAGCAATCACTGATGACGCTAATTTGTTTGTTTAGGTATGATAATCATAGAGAGGCTCTCCTTAAAGGTGGGCTTGATGGGGAATATCAGGACGACAGTTTAGATTTGCTTCACTACTTCACTGTGACCTGTTACTCTGGTTATGGAGATGATGAGAAGGTAAATGAACTCACTCTTAATTTCCTGTCAAGCACGAGACTTTCAAACACAAAGAGAAATCATGTAATTATAGGTGAAAGCAGTGTTCATTTTGAAAACTGAAAAAATACTGCCTTTGTATTTAAACTGTCGGCATAAGAAAACTGCTATTTTCAGAAACCTGCATGTACTGTCATGACAGAGCTTGGGCCTGTAATTCTTTAACATTAAAGTTTTTCATGTACGTTTTAAAATTGTATTCTGTGATCGGAGTATAAAAGTATTAAGAATTTGTTTTCCTGCTGCTGTGTTTTAGGGCTTTTATACAGTTTATCGTAATGTTTTTGAGATGATTGCGAAGGAGGAGCTAGAATCTGTGTTAGAAGAGGAGATGGAGGATTTCCCCACTTTTGGAGACTCCCAGAGTGACTATGATACGGTAAAAGAAAATTGCATTGACATTTTATAATTAGCATTTACCAGTGTGTTTTCTCCCCATTTCTTTATTTGAGAAGAGTGGACCCTGGTTCTTGGTCCCACACTGTAACTAACTCTGCCCCTGTCTCCCTTCCTGGAGGGGCTTGTGGCGCCCTCGGAGTGTCCTCCTTTACGTTTCCTGTTTATTGAGCAGGTCCCATCCCATTCAGCACCTCACTCAGTTTGTTCTCAAGGGTGATTTATTCTGCAAAGCCCTGAAGGACTGTCTTTTCCATTGAGTAGTAGTGATGTGATGTGTGTGAAAAAAGAGATGTGTTGCGTCACTGATAATTTGCTGCCTTGCTGGAGAAAAAGAATCTTAAACCTCAGCATGTTACTTGTTTTCTTGGTCTCTAGGTCGTCCATCCTTTCTATGCCTATTGGCAGAGTTTCTGCACTCAGAAGAACTTTGCATGGAAGGAAGAATATGATACGCGACAAGCTTCAAACCGCTGGGAGAAACGAGCCATGGAAAAAGAAAACAAAAAGATTCGCGACAAAGCGAGGAAGGAGAAGAACGAGCTTGTGCGCCAGCTGGTCGCGTTCATCCGCAAGAGAGACAGGAGAGTGCAGGCGCACCGGAAGCTCGTGGAGGAGCAGAACGCCGAGAAGGCCAGGAAGGCGGAGGAGATGAGGCGGCAGCAGAAGCTGAAGCAGGCCAAGTACGGGAGGCGTGGCTGGGCCCCTGGCTCTGAAGAGGTGTGGGGCCCTGGGACCGGGCCTTATGGGGGGGGCACCCCCTGTGTCCTGGCTTCATCAGCCACCCTTGCGCCGCATGTTTGCCTTCAGAGGCCCCCAATACTTGAGATCCTTTCCAGACTCTTCTGAGACATAATAATAATGACTGCCCATTGATCTCCTCCTCTGGATGAAGCCCGGTTCCAAGCACTTTTATCCTAGCAGTTCTGCGAAGTAAGTTCCGGCTTTTCTCCTCATCCTTTTGAGGAAGCCAGGCAGGCAGGCCCGAGATCCCAGAGCTGGGAAGTGGCAGAGGTGGGCTTCGGCCCGAGATGCCATGCAGTGTGCCCATTGTGCCCCACCTCGTGGTCCCGCCTCTTTGATGGCACACTCTAGGGCTTTGGTTCATTTGGTTCATTTTTATGCCTTTAAAGCTTTGTCACTCGAAGTTAGTGTAAAAGCATTGTGTCCAGAGCACTGTAGCATTCTTTTAAAGATGATTCACTTCTTCTAAATTCTACTCGCCCCACCCTTCATTTTTGGAAAATTAGCACTCTACTTGCCACTTGGGACTTAAAAACATCTCAAGACTTTTTAATAACTTGCTAGGAGGTCTAGATTTCAAAACCTGTTGTCTAATAGGGGGGTTAAAACCACCCACATAACAGATAAGCCACTCGCCCCCACTTGAATTCAGCCCTGACAGTGCAGGGAGAGCAGCTCTCCAGGGCATGGGCTGGAGGCCTGTGGGGTAAGCAGGACCAGCGTCAGTGGGGCTGTGCTGTGTGTCTAGACTGGCCGAGCAGTACAAAGAACAGAGCTGGATGACCGTGGCTGACCTGGAGAAGGAGCTCAAGGAGATGGAGGCGCGCTACGAGAAGGAGTTTGGAGATGGATCAGATGAAGATGAGATGGAGGAATCTGATCCCAAAGATGGGCATGATGGTAACTACCTTCATTGGGAAACTTGAGAAAGGGAGTGCTGTGCTCAGATGTCATGCACTCAGGATGCTTGCAGGTGGCAGGCAGGGGTGGCGCGGCGGGGCAGGGACGTGGCTGCATCCTGGGGACTCCTGCGCTCCCTCGCTCCCTCCACTGCTGCCAGCACCGTGTTGCCAGGATGTTCCTGTCCGTTTGCCTTCTAAGCAGAGCTGGAAATCTGGATTTTTATGGGACGTCTTCTGGTTTTGAAATGTGGCAGACAATTAAAATGAAAAATAATATTGTATAGGCCAAGCAAAGGTAGTCCATTGATGTTGACTAAACCCTAGATGATCGGAATAAGAAATAAGTTTATTTGATTAATAACCTCTTTTCTGAGTGTGCTTTAAACAGTCTGGGCTTCTGGCTGCATAAATAAGTTGGCCGGTGGGTATATTGACTGCTGGTTACTTAAAAGCCTGTGATGAAGCCCAGGAGGTCAAGTTTTTATAGCTCTTTCCAGAAAAGCCGATATTGTACAGGAGTCTGTGTGGTGTATATAAATTCTTCCTCTCATTTCTGAGAGTTTTCTCCCACTGTGCTGGGAAGTGTCCTTTCTGTGCGTCTCTTGTGAGAGCACAAGGCCTGTGACTACCTGAACACGCGAGGGATAGGCATTGTGGAGGATAACCTGACCTTTCGCGTAGTCTCTAGCTGTTGCGTGAGGAATAATGTGGAAGGATCAGTTCACCTTATCTATAAATGTGTTGTTGTAGACTAGTTGGTGAATGATAGAATGGTGGACTTTTATTTACTCCAAATGATTATGAAATGAAATTTTTAGAAGTAGTATGTGTGAAAGTCTTGAAAATTATAATGTATTCTGGAAACGTGAGGTGGCATAATTAGAGTTTTATGTAAAATTTATGAAGTGCTTTCACATTCAGGAAAGAGCTTGCTTTACCCTCACACAATACCCCGTAAATTTGTATTTTGCTCATAGAATGAATTTCCTTTTACTGAAGAGGAAAATACGACTCTGAGAAGCTTTGGCATATCGACCTGCCATCTGACCATTTTTAGATCCAGATTTTGACTTCAAAGCTAACATTTTTATTAACTATTTGATGAATTGTTTATATATAATAAAAGGGTATAGGTAATTGCACACTAATGCCATTTATTAAACATTAATACTAGGTAGAATGAGTTTTGATCATTTGTGATTTCAGTGAGAAAGTGTCTTTCGAAATTATGTTAATATCACAAAGAACCAAAATGTAGACTGTAGAAGAGATACCTTGGGATCCTTATTGATCTCATTGCATGATCCCTTTTATTGATCTCTGTGGCAGTCAGTTTACCTGTTTATTTCTTAAGAAGACAGATGGGATTTTACAAGGATTTTCAGTTCAACATTTTAGTTGTTTAGATTTTGTGGACTATATTGATAGTAATTATTTCATTGTAACAAAGTCCCAAGCTTATTAAAAAAACAAGGGTGTAAAGACATGTTAAAGTTTATATATAATAGGCTCTTTTATGACCACCCTGTCAAATAATGATGGAGTGTTTCAGGCTACGTTTATTTAAGCATTTAAGAGTAGATTACAGTTACAAATGTGTTTGCATCGAATCTTGCTCAAGGGGTCAACTGAAAAATTTGTTGAAAAAACTGCTTTGTGGTAGAACTGTCAAAGTGGCATCTGATTTTCTGGACTTAGCTCACACTGAGAACTTTGAGAGACTTTGAGTCTTCTCAGTAGACTTAGGAGAAGAACTGGAAAGGTAAAGTGGTGATTTGGAAGCCTACCTTTATAATTCAGGACTGCTTTTGAAAGGTCAGCTCAAACCCTGGTAACCTTATTTGGTTTTTGTAAGGAAATACAGTTTATACCTTGTGTGCGAAATTCGTTTGTTACTAACGACATGTAATTTGCTAACACATTTCAGATTTGGGTTCTTACTGTAGGGTTCTTACTGTCGGCTTCCTTCTCGTAGGTAGAGACAGTGATGAAGCTGATGATGCTGAGCTGTACGACGGCCTTTACTGCCCAGCGTGCGACAAATCTTTCAAGACAGAAAAGGCGTAAGTTTAAGATCTTTGAACGCCCCTTTTTTTGGAGGTGAACCAGAACACTGAAAGTCCTAAAAGGAAAGTGCTCCTAGCAGGGGGTCACCAGCCCTCCTCTGTGTTCTCTTGGGGGATTTCTTTTCCCCAGAAGCGGATGTAGGATTTGTGCCAGTGGTTAAGCACACTGCACTGATTCTCATCCGCAGCGGCAGTCCTACGTGAGAGCTGCTGCTTAAAACATGGACGCATCTCCATGTCACTGCTTGTCGTGACGAAGGCACAGTCACAGACGAGGAGGCTAGACCAAAGCGAGTCTCTGTTGTTGGTGGCAGACTCCCTTCCAGCTGTCACAGTCCCATGCAGGCCAGTGTCCCGTTTCAGCCTAGGAACTTTAAATGTGTCCTGTCTGAATTACATTTGCTGAAGCAGAGGGACTTTGCCCTTTGGAAACGAGGAAGAAAGAAGTATTTAAGTATTTACAAAGAGAGGAGAAAGAATAGGACAGAAAACAGAAGTAGACTCAGTAAGGGACAAAGAAACAAAACACATGCAGGGAAGGAGAGGGGAGACTGGAGAGTGCAAGTGGGGGTGTGGGAGGCATGAAAGGCGTTGGTGTGGAACCCCGAGGGGAAAAACTGTCAAGTAGTAAGAGAAGTGGCAAGGGCAGAAGAGTTAGAAACGGGAAAACAAAAGCAACAGTGAAGGAGATTTAAAATTGATTTTTTTATTTAAAAATAATGTCAGACTTACAGTGAAGTTGCAAGGAAAGAATAAAGCACCCGATTCACCTGTGGCTGATGTTTTGCCCTATTTGTGTTCACCCCTTCTCCGTCCCCCCACCTGCCCTGCTCCACACAATTTTTCCCTGAATAATTTGAGAGTAGGTTACATACATAATGCTTGTCTACATCTAAATTACTTCTGTATGTAGTCCTAAAGAAGAAAGCCATTCTGTTAGATGATTGATTGCAGGACAGCTGTCAGCTTCAGGAGGCTTATAACCTGGCTGTGGTCCTTTCATCTCCTCTACCGCCTATATTCCACGTCCGTCAGCACATCCTCTTGGCATCCTGTCCCGTGTCTCCTCTACTCCGGGCAGGATCCGGTCTAGGATCAGAGGACGCGTTCATTTACTTGGTCTTGTTTAATCTGGATCAGTTCCCTTGTCTGTGCCGTTGTTACTCCGGAGTACAGGCCCTTCAGAATGTTTTTTTCCTGGAGTACTTGTCATCTTGAGTGTCGGTCTCCTCATGATTGGATTCTGTGTCTGGCTGGCTACTGTGTCAACATGCGGTGCTGCTCTCAGGCCTTCAGTTCTGGAAGCATATGACGTCTGTCTGCCCTTCCTTGGTGGTGAGAGTTTTGATCACCCAGCCAGGACGTCTTCTACTTTTTCCACTGTAGAGTTAGTATTTTTTTCCATTGCAACAGATTTTACTTTATAGCCCATTTAATCTGTGGGGAGACACTTTCAAGTTAGACAAGTGCCCTGCTCCTCATCAGTGTCCTAGATTTGGCATTCATTGATGATTTTAGCTTATCCCACTTGTCACATAATGGTTCCAAAGCGGGGCTTTTCTGGAACCCGTGCTCCTTCTCCGTTATTAGTCCTCAGTAGGCCTTCTGCCATCAGTAAGAGCCCTGCCTCTCCTCTGTCTAGCTATTACCAGTATGAATTTGTGAAGTTTTTCAGTGTTCTATGATTTCTTACTGTACTTTTCATGCTCAAACTTTTCCAGATAGGATTAGTGAGAGTTCTTTCAAGGTGGCTCCTGTGTCCTTTTGACAAGTCCCAGTCATTTTTTTGAGCACTTATTTTCTGGCACACCACGTTCCTGTTTTCTAAGAAACCATGTTATGAAGGAGAATTTTAGTGGGAGGGAAAAGTAGCAAGTGAAGCTAGAAAACCCAAGTCTGAACAGATGAAATAAAGTTGATAGTATGGATGTAAGTTTCCTACTTTCTTGTTCATCTACTGGCTCTGGTACTTCTGTCTTGTCAACCCTATTTTGTGGAATGTTACTTCATGGCCCACAGATGCCCTGAAAGAGGCATGGCTCAGAGAGTTTTAGGCAAAGGGGTGTAGATGTGTCTGAACTCACATTTAGGATGGTGGGAGTGAGAAGGGAGAGCCCTCTTAAGAAGGCGAAAGACAGTTATTGAAAAAAGCAAAAGGGGGTAAACCACTGTGGTACCTGAGGCCCTCACGTCATAAACCAATGGTCTTCTCTTCAAGTTGGAATGCTGTCTTATAAATTCTCGGGATCTTCCAGAGCCCACAGTGCAGCCTGGAACATGCATGCTTTAGGCTAATACTCAGTGATTAAGAGGAAACAGTGGGAAAAAAAAAAAAAAAAAAGAGGAAACAGTGGAGAAGACTTGAATTTTAAGATAATAGAGAATTTAAAAAAAAAAAAAGGTTGGAAGCAAATATGTAGATAAAAGGATGGAGGGAAGGGAAGATGCTGGGATGGAGGGAAGAAGAGCTCAGGCATGGGCTGGCTGTGTCCTCCCGCCTGAGAGGTCCTGACAGGGTTCTTCTGCTTCTCTTTGTAGCATCCCCAACATTTTGCTTCCTTATTGGGAAAAATAAATTTTACCATGGTTGCATTTATTCAGCCACACACTTGGGCACATGTGAATCCTGTTGTGGTGACTAATGTTCGATTGTTCTTCCAGCATGAGGAATCATGAAAAATCAAAAAAGCATCGGGAAATGGTTGCCTTGTTAAAACAACAGCTGGAGGAGGAGGAAGAAAATTTTTCAGGACCTCAAACTGATGAAAATCCATTGAATGCCAATTCTGAGGAAGAAATAGAAGATGCACCAAAACAAAAGTACTTCTAAAAATGCTTCTAGACTTACTTATCACATTAGAGATGAGATTGCATTTAAATGCTGTTTTATCTAAGAAGTTATTCTGTTATGCTAATATTTTCCACATTTTCTTCTACGTAAGGGAATTTGCAATATTGAAACAGGTAAAAACATGATGTCGAGTATAATTTTACAGAATATATTATGATTGTTTTAAAAGCAGTTTTATATCAAGGGAATTGATATGCTAATTACCATCAATGGAACCACTGTTCTAATTTTCTAACAATAATGTGAATATTTTCTTTTTAAGACCTTATGCTGTTAACTACTTTTAAAATTTTACTTCTCTATCAGTAGTGTTTTAGTATTTTTTTTTCACTTAGTAAGTAGTCACAGTTAAATATTTGACATTTTTATTTATATTTATTCTTAGGCTTTCTAAAAAACAGAAAAAAAAGAAACAGAAACCAGCACAGGTATGTTGAAAAAGTTTTATTAACATTTAATATCAAACATAAAGTTGGACTGCTTTTGTTGTTTTAGTATAGTTCATATTAAAGAGAGGGATTTTCACTCTATATTTTAAGTTGATTATAAAATAGATTGAAGGAAGTTGAAAACCATTTTCTTTTTTCATCACTTTCCTCCATTAATGTGTATGTGGCTAATTTACTTAATTACTATTGTCGGTGTGTCTTCAAATATTGCAAGTGGAATTAATTCCCTGATACTAATTAACTGAGTGATCATATTAAAAATCTGGACACATATGATTACTGGGTTTTTAAATCTCTAAGACAAGAGTTAAAATCAGAAATATGTGAAAATCTGAGGGTTGATTATTGTATATCTAGGGTTTTTTTGCCAACAACATAAATGAAATTTTGCAAAAGGAACATTTGATTAGAAATGTGTAATGCTTATGATTCTTGAAAAAAATGTTTCTTAATATTACTCAGAAATGTAAGTTGTTTAAATATGTCACACTGGCATCTAAATCCAATCTCTCTTAAGAATATTTTTAAATTGGGGCACTTGGGTGGCTCAGTGGTTAAGCCTCTGCCTTCAGCTCAGGTCATAATCTCGGTCCTGGGATTGAGCCCCACATTGGGCTCTCTGCTCAGCAGGGAGCCTGCTTCCCTCTCTCTCTCTCTCTCTCTCTGCCTACTTGTGATCTCTCTGTCAAATAAAATCTTTAAAGAAAAGAGAATATTTTTAAATAAGAAGTTATTTTGTTGTTATAGATGCGTAACAATCCTATAGATGTATAAACATACAACGAGCTTCTCCATTTTACTAAGGATATTTGGTGGTTCTAAAGGAAGTGGAATTGATTTCTGCGCTATTTTAATATAATCTAATTACATTAGCTTATATTAAGTATTAAATATTACAGTTCTTTTTGAAAACTGAAAATATTTTTAAGAAAATTTAGTTAACACATTACTGATTTTTCATAAAACTTTAGATTTGGCTTATCTATTTAAATGGTTATATATTTGAAAGTAGTTTTTATCTGTCTCATGTTCCAAAAATGATACATGACACATGAATTTATCACTGTTAAAATTTGTGACTTGGAACTTTTGCTTCAATTATAAAACCACATAGCAAGTTCTGTGTTCCTTTATAAAATGACTCATACTGTCTTCTACCCAAAGACTCTATAATCATTAGCTTAGAACATTTCCTCTCTTGTTTGTGTGTGCTGGAACCACTAGAATAAACACAAGATAAGAGAGATTTATACCTAACCCAAGCCTATCCTGAGTAAGGAAGCGTAGGTCTTATAAGTTGCAGTAATAAATATATTTGTGTTTTCTTACCAATGAAAATGCTTCATTTACTAACCCATTTTTTCCCTCCAAAGCTGTATTCCTTTATAGTAATACCTCTTGTTGATGATTTCCGATTCTGTCATGAAGAAAATCCCATTTCAGATCTAGTTTTATGTAGCACTTTTCCTGACGTTTCCTCAGTTCTTTTTGAAAGGAGGGTAGTGTGGAGATGTGAACCAGTTGACTGAAGAGCAGCAGGCAGCAAACACAGAAAATCAGGAAACTTCAGACTGGGAGAGTTTTCTGTATGGGCAGGAAAAAAAATTTGCATGACCTAATAAGAAATAAGAAAGGAAACCCAGAAAACTGCAATTGAATGTAAACAGAGGACCCTGGCTGACAGAAAGGAGGAGTCCAAGTCACTTTTGAGCACAGTATTCTGAACACCCTCCATGAGAAACATTCCAAAGACAAAATTACTTGCAAAAAAATAAATCTTGTACTTAGTAGATATTTTGGTCTAATTGTAGCCTAAGTGTAGCCTGAATCTAATCATAAGGAGACAACCAGAGGAAGCCAAACTGTGGGACAGAATAGCCGGCATATTGTCAAAATCATGAAAGACAAAAAGTAGGGCTGTGGTGGTTCTAGGACAAAGGAGATTCAAGGGGCATGACCACGACACACAGCATGGGGTCCTTGATTTGTCACACCTCTCAGGGCCCCCAAGGAGAGGTTGTTACTGGGTTGGGAATATGGATTATGGAGCCGACACTTTAAATTCTTGAGTACGAAGGGCATTGTGGGGATGTAGGAGCAAGCATCGTGATACCTGCCTGCAATTTATTTTTATTCTTCTGGGCTTGGGGGCGGGGTGTGTGTGCAGAGAAGAGGGAGGAAGGGAAGGGGAAGCAAATGTGACAAAATGTTACCCCAACCCAAACCAACAAAAATAAACACTCTTCACATAGTGAAGGTATGTTGGCCAAGCTTTGCCTTTTTCGTAATGCTTATTTACTCTTTTTTTTTTTTCTCCTAACTATAAAAGTAGTATGTGCTCATTGCAGATCAGTTGGAAAATATGGAGAACTATAAATATCACCCCTCATTCTGCCTATAGATACTACTTAGTATTGAATTAGATTGTAATCAGACATTATGTGTAATTTTCTTTTATATTTTAGCTAATAATTTGTAGGTATTGTTCCACAGAATTGAATCAGTGTCTTTGCAAACATGATTTTTAAGAGCTTCGTAATTCCCTTCATAATCCAACCGTTCACTTATCGAACATATAGATTGTTTCCACTTTTTTCCTACTTTAATGTTTCTGTAGTGAGCATTCGTGTTTTTAAATTATTTGCTTTTTCTTTTTATTTCCTGAAGATTTCCTCATTCAGAGCGTACCCAACATTATAATTGTTTAGTATAATTACTTGGTATCCTAAGAAGCTGGGGTTGTTACTATAATTATTTTGTAATGCATACATGTTTTATTACCTAGAAGTATGATGATAATTTCAATGAAAATGGAACTGGAGAAGAAGTAAAGGTTGAATCAGAAGATACCAACTTAAATCAAGACCGTGCCAAAGAATTAGATGGGAGTCCCCAAGAAAGTATCAGTGTCACTGAGACTGTCGAACTCTGTGAGGATCCAAAAAGTGAAGCTAAGAAGTAAGTCAGGTTGATGGCGTTTTCTAATTACTGTTGGTGGGAAGAATATCTTTTCGGATCTCAAATTACATCTTTCCCACGGTTGATGAAGCAGAGCAGGTCTTTCGGTGACATGTACATTTATCCAGACAGACGTCCCACCGTAATACAGACAAGGCATGTTGGGAAGAGGATGCCGGAGGAAGGTGCTAATGGACATTTCAGCAACATGGCCCAAATCAAAAAGTCATTTTGACCCAGTTTCTATCCTGTTGAGGTCCTTATTTTATCCTTGATCAGTAATCCTTGAACAAGGAATCCAAGAACAAGTCTCCTGATGAGGCCGCGCCCCACTTGCCTGGAGCGTCTGGGACCATGTGTCTATGCTCAGGGCTGTCCTCCTGTGTTGGGCCCTGCGCTGCAGGTCACCAAGATCTGCATCCACAGCCCGGGGCCTTCCTGCTGGCAGGAGCCTGGAATGTGGTGCCCCATAGGGTCACAGTGGCTGGCCAGAGGAAGGTCTTTTTTAGCGGAGAGAGCATTCCTGGTCCTCTCCTTCCTGCCATGTCTTACTGTCTTGTCTCTGGCCTCCTCTGCTTCTCTAGAGCACAGAGTAATTTCTTATTCCTTGAGGGAAAATCTGAACAGTGAGTAGCCTCCCTGTCTAGGACCACGAGAAGGAGTTCAAACAACAGAGTCAAGTGTGTGTCTGCGTTGCCAGCATTTAGCATCGGAGCAGGGACAAAGGGGTAGGGCAGCACCCTTAGGGGTTTAGGAGCTGAGGGAAACACCATGATGGAGGCCTAGGGTAGGCCTGTAGCTCTGGGGAAGGAGGGCGGGGACATGTGCAATCCTGTAAGGTGTTGTAGCTTGTGTTTCAACAGTTTTAAGTAAATGCCTTAGCTTTTGTGTCACATTTAACATCTACTGTGGTCTTTAAAGTTGCTCTGGAAAGCTATTCATTTGAGATGTGAAAATTAATTAGATTGGCCATTAAAATTAATGAATTAGCCTTTCACTTGAGTCTTTTTGGGAGCAAAATAACAATTAAAAGGGATACATTATTACTGGATTGTAAGAACTCTATAATTTATTTTCCAGTGCTCCTAAACCCAAAGGGAAGAAAGCCAAAGACATGAAAAAATCTGTCAAAGTACCTGCTGAACCTCAGACAGTGGTAGGTCAAAATCTATTGACATTTTTCAGTGGATGGACCTAGTTTCAGCAATATCTTCTAAATTCTTAATTCTGATTCTAAAGCCATCTTTGGTGAGCCCTTGTGCACCTACTGAATAGGTGTGGATCTGTCAACAGTTTTTCTTGATGAATGTAGAATTTATATCTGTGCTGCTGTCCCTGTTCTTTAAAGTAAAAGGCACAGTGGGAATACCAGCTCCAACAGAACAGCTACTGCTCTGTTTTCCGTTACTTTGCAAACTGAAACGGCACTCTCGTCCACACGGTGCATACTGTGGAGTGGCTCAGGACTCTTAATATTGATGCTTTTGGTTGATGGGACTTAACTTTTCACTCTTTTGAGCCTAAGTGGCGGTAATTTTGTTAAAACATTTTATTTTGAATTATTTGATACTAAATCTCAACATGAAAACCTAAATTATTGCTCTCAGGGAATAACATTTGCTCTTACTGATATATATATATATTTTTTCCCCTCTTCAGAGTGATGTTCTTATCAGCTGTGCAACCTGCCATAGTGAATTTCCATCCCGGAATAAACTTTTTGACCATCTGAAAGCCACAGGTCATGCAAGAGCACCTGCATCGTGTTCTTTAAACAGTGTAACAAGTAGTCGAAGCAAGAAAGAGAAACGTAAAAACAGATAGAAATCCTGCCAATGTTTTTTTCTTTTTGATTGTCTCTAGATTTTGAAACCAATAACTGAACTGAAGTCATCTAAAGAGTTAAAATTTCGGTGATCTGCAATTTATTGCATTGTGAAAGATTATTTTTTATCTTGTAAAAACATTTTTTTGTTTAATATATATTTTTTAAACATTTCATTAGTGATTGAATTCTACTTTGCCATCTGGATTGACTTGAATGTTTCAAAACAGGTACATATTGTAAAGTATGCGTTTTTGACTTCTGTTGGCTCACATGGACAGAAATGTACAGGGAGAATTAAATTATTTTAACACATACAAATACTCCTTTGTGTTTTATTTTGGGGATTTCACATAGTATTTTTATATGATTCAGTGCTTTTGTATTCTGTTAACATTTCATGATCTGTCAAAGACTCAGTTTTAAAATCATCATAGTTTTTTTTCTTACCTAGTACCATGACTCCAGTTCTGCTTTTAAAATTATTTATAAATAACCTATTTTTGATTACTGTATTTTTTTTTCCTCAAGGACAGGGGTAGGTAGAAACTAATTGAATATATATGGTTATGTTTCAAGACTTGTATCTCAAGGTATAACCATGGTGATTTGAGATTTTATAGGTAATTCTCAATAAGATATATCTTTTGGTGTTTTGCCCTGATTTAAATTGTGGAGGTGGAAGCAAATCACTGTGTGGCACTTCCTCCTTGGCACGGTGACGGCCGTGAAGCATGACGGAACCAGGGGCGGGTGGTGCAGAATTTGTACTGACTCTTTAACAAAGGATATTCTGCCTTGGGCTTTTTTCCTTCACTATTTTCAGAAGTTTTTACTTTTGTTTTTTTCATCATTTAATGGAAAACAACTTTTTGAATAAAAGTTTTTTCATAGGGCTGGTATTTATGCCATCCATTCTGTAGCAAAGATGAATATTAACTCGAAAAACAGAGAACAGTCGAAAGTGAGTGTGGTCATGTATGTGGATCAGTGATGAGTCGGTTTTTAGGGTGAGGCTGGATTAAATAGGCAATTCTTACACTTGGTCTTGAGAGTAACTTTGAACTCAGTGGCTTTAAATATATACTCCGTGTTTAGTGCAGCTCTCGCCTTATATCCTTGAATCTTCAAGTGAAGGAATCTTCAGTTAGTTATGGGCTCTAATACTTGAGTCTCTTGGCAAAGACTTTTCTGAATGCCTCATGGATAGTACTGAGAGTGGGGATCACGCTGTGTGGTTGACTTGAAAATACGCATTTGTATTTTAATTTTTTCTTCATTTAGAGATTTAGTACATTTTTAAAAAGATTTTATTTTTTGAGAGAGAGAGCACAAGTGGGGGGAGGGGCAGAGGGAGAAGCCGGCTCCCCACTGCGCATGGAACCCAATACAGGGCTCGACCCCAGGACACCCATTGATGACCTTAGCCAAAGGCAGACGCTTAACCAACTGAGCCACACAGACGCCCCATAAGTTTTCTTTATCGTCTTTCTTTCTGTTTCTCTACCCTCTTTCGCTAATTCCTCCTAATTGTCATGCACTACCCCCTTCCCCCACCTTGTCCCTTTCTTGTCACTTCAGGGGAAATAGAGCCAGTTCTTTGGGCTCTTCCTCCCAGGCTTGGTCTGAAAAGTTGCCACCCTCTGCTAGTTAGAACTAGGTGAACTGGCTGTAATAAGAATAGGAGTACTGGGGGCCCCTGGGTGGCTCAGTGGGTTAAGCCTCTGCCTTCAGCTCAGGTCATGATCTCAGGGTCCTGGGATCGAGCCCTGAATCAGGCTATCTGCTCAGCGGGGAGCCTGCTTCCCCCATCTCTCTTCCTGCCTCTGCCTACTTGTGATCTCTCTCTCTCTCTGCCAAATAAATAAATAAAATCTTAAAAAAAAATAGTACTTATCAACAAGAGGGCATACTGATCACATATTATTGTACAGAAGAATTATGAAGTCCTCTGGACAGGCAGAGAATGTCCTTGCTTTCCCTTGTACCCACCAGGTAGGTGTTTGGTTTCTGCTTTGTGTGCAGATTGATTGGGGTTACCGGTCACTTTTATTCTGATTCACAAAACTCAACCATATTTTGAAAGGATCTTCATCAGTTGTAACTGAAAGCTAGATCTCATTTGTAGTCCTGTGCATATATAATGCCGACAAATCATTTAACTTCTCTGAATTTCTTTCTCCTTATCTCTAACACAGTTCTCCGCATCGTATTGTTTCTGTTTATCACACAGGATTATTATGAAGGGCAGATAAAATAGCAGTATTAATCTCTGTACCCATCATGGGGCTCGTACTCATGACCCCAAGATCAAGAGCCGTGTGATCTGAGCCAGCCAGGCACCCCGGGCAAAATAGTATTACGAAAGTGTTTTTTAACTATGAAAGCTTTATACAAAATGTTGTATTTAAAAGAGTTGAATCTTTTTCAGTTAAGATACTTGCAGACTGAAGTGTACATGTTGAATTAAACGTGTATTAAGTTTTTATAGGAATGTCCTTCCTCATCCACTTCTGAAGAGGAAACAGAAACGTATTATGCTGGAGGTAAAATGTTTTTGGTGAATCACAGACATTCGATTTCATTTGTCTAAAGCAAAACAGATAGTCTAAAATATGTGAGCACATGTTTTACACTGACATCATTCAGGGTCAGTTGTGAGCGCCATCCGGACTGAAGGAAGCTGAGCTGTGGAAGATGCAGGGAAGGTGGGCTCTGCCAGGAGAGGCTGAGGGGAAATCCCGTCTTCTCTCTGCACTGTGTTCAGTGGTGCCAGAGCTGGGCTTCCCTAGAAAGCCCGGTGAGACTTGGGTTTCAAAACAGGAGCAGTATCCTTAGCAGAAGTACACTAGAGAACAGGTCTGCATCAAAATTAAAGCTTTTGTAGGACAACAGGCACCCTAAGTAGAAAGCTTCAGCCTGGGAGAAATGGTTTGCAATATTTATATAATGGACAGGATTAGCATCCAGAAGACTTGAAGAAGTACCTCCTACAAATCAAGGAGCAAATGACAGACATGCATTAGTAGAGCAGTTCTCAAACTTTTTGGTCACAAGACCCCTTCCCACTCTCAAAAACTGAGAACTCCAGACAGTATTTGTGGGTGGGGCTTCTATTTATTGATATTTACTCTTAGAAATCAAAATGGATTTAGGAGTATTTATTAAAAAAGAATACATATTAAGTAACAAATATGAAAACTTTTGAAATGAAAGTTTAATGAGAAGAGAGGTTTCACATTTTTAAAAATATTTATTAGAACAAGTTGGGGGAGAGGGAGAGGGAGAAGCAGGCTCCCTGATGTGGGGCTCAATCCCAGGGCCCTGGGACCATCACCTGAGTAAAAGCCAACTAACTGAGCCACCTAGGCAGCCCCATTGTTTCACGTTTTTGAAAACTTCTTTGTCTAGCTTAATGAAATTAAGGACTCATATCGGCTTCTGCGATCAGTCTGTTGTTCCGTGTTTGGTTAAAGTATATGAAGAAAATGGAGCTTCATCTGGGTAGGATACTGGAAAAGGAAGGACTTTGTGGGTCCTTCTGGGTCTCCCAGACCACAATCAGATTAACTACATTAGAAAAATGGGTAAAACATATCAGAAAAAGCTGGAATAAACAATGAAAAGATGATCATTGTTACTGATAACGAGGGAAATACGGCTAAATAATTGTTCTGTGCTTTCAGATTGGCAAGAAGGCAAAATACCTCCCAAGGTCAAGAAGGAATGTTGGTGAGGATGAAGAAATGAGGACACACTCCTTTCTTTTGGAGTAAAATCAATTGAATTTGATGATGTGTCTGAAAGTTGAAGATAAATAGTATAGCCTCTGACCTCAGGCTCTGTAACCTGAGGCACAGGACTAGAGTCTCGGTCCCCAATGCCCTGGCCTGGCCTTCCCTTGGGAGCTCCCTCCTGAAGGCGGTGCTTAGGTCCCACCCTGGACTTGCCCAGTGAGAGTCTGCAGTTAAGATTTCTCAGGTGATTCATCTGCTCCTTAAAGCCCGAGAATCAGGACTGTCCAGAACCCCAGTACTTGTGTGTCAGCCTTATTACACGGATGCTCACAGCTGAATTGTTTGTATCTAGGAAAAGTGGGAAACAGCCTAAATGCATGAACAAGAAAATGGAGCAATTATGGCCCATTTTAAGATGGCAGACAACGGAGCAGTTAAAACGAGTCAACTTGATCTATAGTATCAGTGGATAGCTGTTGTGGAAAGAAAAAAAAATGATGAAAACAAGCTATCAGAAGATGAAATATGCCATTTATGAGTTTTAAAAAGTATTGTTGTTATTGGTGAATTGAAAGCAGGGTAGCGTTGCTGGGAAACATTGTTCTGAAAAGTAATGGCCTCCAGAAAGGGAGGGAGTGCAACGGAAGGGGGCTGTGCCGGCAGGAGCGGCCTCGTCGGAGTCCACTTGATTTTAAGGCCCGAAGGAAAAGATTGGCATTTGTTTGTTCATTCTGGATGCTGGGTAGGGAGCGTTTGTTACTGGTTTTCATGAAATAAACATCCAGAGAAATACGGGTTAATGTTTCCCTTCTTCCCAGCAAGATGCACCCTTACAAAAGGGAATTTAAAGGGTTTAGGATGTACATCTGATCCCTGGTGTGTTCTGTAAGGACATGGTCGCAGAGGCCATCACTAGTGTCTCAGTCTCCTTCTGCCCTCAACTCTGATCTCTAGTTGGGCACAAAGCCACTTAGAACGTGATTACCTTCCAGGCCGCCATGGCAGTCTGGTGTCACTTCTGGCCAGTGACTTGAGCGACTTTTGGGAAATGTCCTTCAAGATGTGGACTGTCCTTATCCTTTCCTCTGGCTATTTAAGTGAAGAGATGGTGGCTGGAACTCTGGCCCCGGTCTGGGACCCCATGTCCTCCCTGGGCTGAGCAGCAGGAGCACAGCATCTTCTGTTCCTGATACATAGTAGAAGACCCCGCAGACCCTAGACCAGCTCCCTTTGCACCCTAGAGAACTCAGACTCCCGCATCACCAAAGCCTCCGTTCTGTGCTCAGGGTCCCAGGTGGCTCAAGCCCTGACTGATTCAGGGTGTGCATGGTTACCTGAATGAGAGGTGTGGCTTCTGCAGTGCCAAGGACGTTGGCTCTGAACTCTGAGAGATCTCTGATGAAATTCCAGCGCCAGCATTAACTAGACAAACTTGGGCAGGTCATTCAAACTCTTCAAGCCTTTTCTTCTTCCTTAATCTGTAAAATAGGGGTGGCTGAGGGATTCATTTGGTTAAGTATCTGCCTTCAGCTCAGGTCACGATCCCAGGGTCCAGGGATCGAGCCCCACATTGGTCTCCCTGCT